TTGATGCCATAATATTGGTCCAGATGATTAACCCATTGAACAAGAGGGTTAGTCTTAGAATGATGTTTAATTTAAAGCAAATATTTTTCTCATGCAGGAATATGTTGATGCTAAGATAAGTTCAATTGAGAGGAAGCCCCATGACTCTGGTTGTGCATGCCGGTTTTATGTAATATGCTATAGAGCCCAAGAACATCACAGCATGGTGAGGATGACACTTGGGGAAGTAAAACTTGAAAATATTGGTATCTTACAAAAACTTCAGAGAAAACCTTCAGAAGATGTCTACTATCATTGGAGCTACTCTGAAGACTGGTCCTTCATGCGCAGAGCTATACTACATTGCGATCAGTTCTCTTCTGATATACCATGGCTACTGGTTGCATCCATTTGGAAAGGACTTGGATTTGATGTCAAAACAGTGCAAAATAAAATGGTCTATCAACTTCTTGATAGTGATCATGACATGTGTCCTCCAAGTTCCTTGAATAATGTAAAGACCATAAACTTCCAAATAGATAATGAAGTTATGAAACCCAGTAATATGAACTTTTCCCCTATTGTTCCTGTAAATACATTTGTTTTAAATGATCCTATGGATGTGGATCTTGTTCATGATATGAAAGAAGAAGATAAGCCTTTTCTCCATATATGGACTTGGTAGCAGGTTGCCAATGTGTGTATATGTTGAAAATATATAATTTGTGGATGTTTTTGAAGTTTTTTAACAGAGGTAGAATTGGAAACTTTGGCTGATTCCGATTCCAATTTCTAATTGAACCAAACAGTAAGAATCAGAATCCGATTCTGATTCCTGACTGAACCAAACAGATGTCAAGAATAAATGATTACGATTCCGATTCCGATTCCAATTCCAATTCCGGTCCTGTCCGCGAATGAAACGCACCCTAAAATTGAGAAATGAGAAGGAAGCAAATACGGCTGGACAAATCCCACATCGGATGTGAGATAAAGGTGAGTGGAGATCTGGTTCTATAAAATAGTGATAGGAAAAAAATACTATCCATCTTTGCGCTTGGGGCAATGACGCAGTCAATGAGGTATTAACCGAGGCGCGTCAATTGCTGGTTGAAAACTATTTCCAAACCCCCTCTTAGGCCTGGGCTTTCCCCTGGCCTCTGAGAATTTCTGGAAGGGTCCCATAATTGGGTAAGACCCTACAAGGCTTATCTCCAAAATGTTTTGATATTGCTTCGATTTGAATTATCCATTATATTACTAATGTTAGCTACTCATATCATCTCTTAAACAGGAGAATTGTAGATATTGATTTAGGAATGCTTTACATTGGTATTCCCTTAACTGGAATTTTGCCTACAGCAAATTTCTTGATCTAGCCAACAGATTTATTGTTCACTAGTGTAGAAAAAGGTAACGAATACAAATTTCTTGCTCTCACATTATAATCCTGGGTTTGTGTAGTTTCGTTTGCTAATTTCATATGAGTAAATCTCTATGAATTACAAGTTGAACCATCTGACTTTTGTCTTGACAGCTCAAAGATGCCGTGAATTTGCAGTCTTCTTCAGACTGAATCTTGTTATCAGGATACCACAGTACTTTCGCCAAGAAGTTATGAACCGTATGGTATTCTGTACAGTTCACTTGTTCATAATTATTCGACTCGGTTAAGGAAATTAGGGTAGTGGTGACTTGGTGGATTTGAATTGCTTGGAAATTGGAACAGGATCAGAGATGCCGAATTGGAGAAAAATTGCTCCGGTGATGGGACCAAGTGTTTAATGTCTGGAAGGACCTAGAAGAAAACCAAAGAAGAATGACATCGTCGAACTTGCTCATGTCAACCTACCCAACTGGGAATAGAATCGTCAACTGGATAATTGGGATTTGGGAGTGGAACGACTACCTCCAGATTCAATATGGACCAGAATACTACTGTTTGAGTACTGAAACTTTAGCAAGGTTTGACAGAATTACCGCAAACTTTTAAATTTCATTTGTTTAACTTGAAGTTTTAGACAAACCTGCCACTAACACCCTACATTTAATCAAGTTCGAAATTCAAATCACTCAATTATATTGTTTATGATAAGATACGAACCCAGGTCCAGGTCTGTTAACATTCAACTATCAATCATCTGGAAAGCAAACCTCACCCCCGTCACACACTTCATTTCCAACGTGATCTTCAAATTCTTTTTTAAATACATTTTGGTAGCACAGACCTTTCACATACATCACATAGGCTATTAAGGCTGCATTTGGCGGTACGATGAATAAAGCCTTACCTTCTTACAGTTCAAATCTGCGCCCCACCGCCTCTCACCCCACAAACGCCCATTACACCGAGCGTCCGCCACCTATCCATTCGCACGCGGTCAGCATTCCCGCGTGTGGGACTAACAGGACGTCCGTTAGTTTGACCAGTTAATTTCAAAATTAGTTTAAAACCCTCATTTCTAATTCCCGCTCCCTCGTATTTGAATTGGCCGTCCTCTGACCCCGTTCTTCTCCCCTCCACCTGAGATAGGATCCAACTCCTCCGGCACCAGCGACCACTCTGGCAACCAATCCAGTGACACCCACTGCTAGTATTTTAACCCACCACCACCCCCACTCTCTCTCTCTCTCAGTCACCAAAGAAGAAGAAGAAGAATCAAAGAGGAAATTATTAAAAATTTGAAAAAAAGCTCAGAGGTTTTAAGTTCAAAATCTACATGTCTGTACCACAAACAAGTCTGTCGTTGTAGATGGCCAGTGGTTTCTCTGATTTGAAATGAGAAAATAAAATATTAAAGAATAGAGGTTTCTTTGATTTGAAATGAAAAAACAAAATGAATTTTGTAGATTACCTGCAAAGATGAACTGGCCGGAGCGGTCGCGGATGCCGAAGAAAGAGTTGGATCCGAGCTCGGGTGGAAGGGAGAAGAATGGGAGTCAGGTGACGACAGTTCAAGCACAAGTAATCAGTTGAGGGGGCAGGAATGTAGAAATAAGAGTTTTGGGCTAATTTGGATGCAAATGGGACAAACTAACGGCCATCCTATTAACCCCACACGTGGGAATGATGACCGCGTGCGAATGAATAGGTAGCAGGCACTCGGTGTGTGAGGCGTTTGTGGGGCAAGAGACAGTGGGGCACTGATTTCCCGGACGATCTACGAATATCAACAGTTGCGTTCATAACAGCTTAAAAAAAACTGAGTATCATGCATATATTTGTTAGGATTATCTAACACTTGATATTTTACACGTAACCTTTGAAATCAATATTTTAATCTCTTATATTTGAACCCAATCCATATATAGTACGTAGGCACGTACACAACCAAGCTATTTCAATGCTGCAATGTTAACCGATCAGGTTAGCACACTTCACCATAAAGTTAAACCCAATCTGACTGATCTGACCATAACCAAATAGGGTCAGGTGAGTGCAGATTTGCTACTTGACCCGACCTGACATCCTTGATCAGGTCCATGTTACCTTAATTTTTTGAGATTTTTGGACTGCACTCCTCAGAAATCTTTTTTGCAGCCCCTCTTGATCTATTAGTAGTTCCCTATAAATTGCATTCCTAGGTAGAGGTAGGATTTCTCAAGATTGGACTGAATCATAAAAACCCCTAATTTTTTTAAGGGAAAAGTATGAACAGGCCCTATTCAGAATTCTGAATTCCAACCCAGCTATAGTAGAATCCAAAAATATATATAACTCCACTTTTTGAAAAGTTAGGACAGATTCTCACACCACGTAGGAGTTATTGTTTTGACTAATTTTGTGTGAAGCCAATATTGTTTCAATGTAGTCTCCCATGTTTTTTGAAAAGACAAAGACTAAAATGCCCTTATTACAAAACAACTCATTCGAAGAAAATGTTTGAAGAAAATGCAATCTCATCCTGATAAGTGTTTACCTAGTTTGCACATATAGCCCATATGTGTCAAATGGCCCTTAAGAATTTTGAATTCTTCAAAATAAAACTTTTCAAAACCCAATTTCCCCTTTAAAAAACAAATACTAAAATTCCCTTATTACAAAACATGACTCATTCGAATGGGCCATCCATTCGAACCAGACGGTTGGACCATTGACCTAAAAACCGGTGGCAAGAACAGTTCTGTTTCTAACTCATTTTTTAAAACGTTGCTTTCTATCTTAGTATGAATTTATCAATTTAGCAAAATAGAAGAGATTTACTTGATTTTTATTATGGGATGACTTTCATGTTATAAGTTGCATATTGATTACTTCAATATTGGTCCTGAAGTCTTGAATGCCCAAATTGCCAACCAAGTGGAAATTTACAAAGATGGATCTAAGATATTGGCTAAGCTCATTGGTATTAGTAATTTTATTTTCATTTTAATTTCTTTTTGTAACATAATAGTTTGTTTTTATCATATAAAGTGATGGTTATTGTCTATTCACATTAGCCTTGAATGCCCCATTTGCTAAGTTCTCTTTACATTCCATTTGGCAACAACAAATTATATTTGCCAACTTAATAAAACTTTACAAAGTTGGAATTATGAGAATAATTAGAAGTGCAGGGACATATGACAGTTTATTTTTTGTTTAATAATAAATCAAAAATATATTAGACATAACTGTGTTAGTTACACTTTGATTGCTCTCCCATAATGATTGTATATGAATTCAATATTATACTGGTAAAAATTTACTTATATGGATTGAAGATGTTGGCTAAATTCATTGGTGTATGTTTCATAGCAATTAATTCAAGGACAATGACATAAAATATTAATTATGGTGTTCTCACTTCTCCTTAATGGCCATTTGGCAATACGAATCCATATCAACCAACTTGGTAAAAATTTACCAAGATGGAATTAACATGTTAATTTTAAATCTAAAGACATGCAAAAACCATTATAGAAGTATAATATTGTTTGGTAATGGAAAAAATATATACTAGGTAATAGGTATGGTGGTGTTATATTTTGGTTATCCTCCTATAATGACATTATATACCCTAATTGCTAACTTGGTAAAATTTTATCAAGATGGGTCTAGGGTGTTGGCTAAGTTCATTGTGCAGAACATAACCATCCTCATTTTGATAAAATGTTTCATTGCAATCAAGTCAAGGACAGTGACATACTAGCACTGGTTATCGTGTGCACCATCTCCTTAAGGGCCATTTAGAAAATATGAGCTTATATGTGCCAATTTAAAGCCCATTTGGAAAGTCTTTTTAAAAAGATCTTGTAATTTTGACAGTCAAAAGACGTATTGAACCTTTGACATAAAATCTAGGAAGCCCAAAGACTGTTTGGCATATGCACATCTTTCCGTGCGTTGTTCCACATCTTTCCACACGAGATTAAAACATGAAAGATGTGACAAGCTTCATTTGAAGCTTTCCAAAATCAGCCCAAAATGAGCTTCTTGCGTCTTTTCGACATCTCGTCTTTTGGCAACTAGGTCTTCCATATGCCAAACAAAAATTGACCAACTTTCGATCTTCCAAACTTGTAAATAGCCGAAAGACCGCACAAAAAGACATGCCAAACAGGCCCTTAGTAAAATTTTACAAAGATGAGATTAAAGGGTTAATTTCAAATTTGAAAACATAATACAAAAACTATCACAAATGTATAGTATTGTTTTATCACAATTAACTTAAAGACAATGATATAATAATATTGATTATTGTGTATACATCATCTCCTTAATGACCATTTGGCATATGTGGATTATATGTGCCAACTTGATAAACATTTACCAAGATGAGATTGAATTTTCTTATTTGAATGAATCATTTTCTAATAAAGGCATTTTAGTCCTATTTCAAAAGAAAATGGGAGACTTGACATTGAAGCAATGTTGGCCTAACACCAAATCAGTCAACATAATAATTCCTACCTTGTGTGGGAATCTGTCCTAACTTTTCAAAAAGTAGAGTTATATATGTTTTTGGATTCTGGTATAGCTGGACTGTAATTCAGAATTGAGAATTGAGCCTGTCCGTACTTTCCCCTTTTTTAAGCCGTCTCCATGTGTGTGGAGATATACAACACATCATTCTTTTGATTTAAAAATGGAGATATACAAATCCAGTGCACGAGGCTCCTGATAATGCTGATCTGGGGAGGGACAGATGTAAGCAGCCTTAAATAGCATCCTTAAATATGGAGATATACAAGTAGTACATCAAAATTCTTCAGAAAGGCCAAATAATGAGAACAGGACCACTGTGAAACAAAGTGATCTTAACCTGCATTTAACTGATACAAACACAATCAATTCCTTCACTGTACAACTTACATGCTGCAACGGAGAACCCTTTGTTTTTCCTTCAATAATTAATAGTCAGCTGAAAAGAGTGGCATATGTATGAAAAGTACACTCAGCTTCAGCCATAACTCAGTCGTGAATCAGCAGATCGTACATTCATTTGGCGCCGGGGGATCCCAATCTCACAAGCATTAACTCTGGCAGCAAAACGTAGTGAGCAGAGAGACTCACCAACTGATGCCGGGTCAGGTGAGATGTTAACAAACATTAGGGTTTTGGAGTCTCCCCCTAAGCAAGGCTGGTTGACATCAAATGAGGAAAGGTCAACAAATGCCACGTGATCCAAAAACAATAAGTAGGATAAACCATATTTGGCTAGGGGCTCAAAGATGGCACACTTATTGTGATCAGACAAGAACAAGGGGATCATCCAAATCGATAGTGAAATAAGGTTGTTACTTGTAAGCAATCATAAGAAAAACAACCAAAAGCAGTTGAATATCACAATTCATAAATAATGGAATCAGGACTTGGAACATGGTTCAAAGTATCGATAAGCCTCTGCATATGGGAAGTGGCATATCAGTACTTAAATACACACGGAAATAATTTTTTTTTAGTTTTTTTTCAAAATTTGGTTTTTGGAGAGTTAAAAAAGGGTATTTTTGTATTAAAAAAGGGTGGGGTCCCAAAACACCTGTAAAGAAATGTTTTGGAACCCAAAAGATACGATACGATATGCCCGATACAAGGCGTATGGTATCAATTTTTTGAACCTTGCTTGGAAGCAATGCTTTCCACTAACACATGTACTATGACGGAAATCATAGTACATAGGGCTGCAACTTGGGCCAGGTTAGCCCAAATCCAGACCAAAAAAGTAGTGCTGAAGTTCGTGCCAAGGTTATGGTTGAAAAGTCTAAACCCAACTTAACTTTGGGTTGGACTAGAGTTGACACCTTGACCAGCCTGACCCAACCCAAGCCCAACTTAATTTCATATTCGTATGTATAAATATCATACAAGTATGCTTTTATAAATGTAAGTACTTATGTATGTGTATTCACTGTTCACGCATGTATGTATATGTAACTACGCATCTATAAATGTATATATCTATATTTATATGTATTTTTCACTGCAAGTATTTGTGTATACTATATGCATATTTATATACCTATACATGTATGCGTGTATATTGTATGTTAAAAATTAAGTTTAAAGGCAAAATCTTTTCTAAAACATGATAGTGATGTTCTTTTACACAATGCCAATAACCCTTGGAGTCTAGGAAATAAGTATATCTGGCAAGAGTTGAGGAGTCGGGCCAACCTGAAACTAACCTGAACCCAACCTGAAGTTTTAGGGTTGGGGGTTCAACAACTCGAGTTGGGTTAGGGTTGACCTCAACCTGATGTAACCCGGCATGACTTGCACCCCTAATAATGGAAATGACCACCATGATGGATGAATGTTTTACCTGAGCTGGAGAAATTTCAGCTAAAAAATAAAATAACAAAAGAACCTACTGATGGGGAAAATCTTAACAAGTCCAAGTTGATGGGAAATTTTTCTTAAAAAGTCTCTTTAACCCTATAGAAGCTGCTTATATTAAATGGTTGCTGCCTCCTGCCATCCAAACACCTAAGTGCAGTGCATACACACTGCACAAATGCTCATCTTGTAATCTTGATGTAAATGGCCTTTTGAGACCCAAGACAAAACTGGTGGAAGTGACACATATTAAAACATCAGCAAGGACTTTCCAAGACAAAACAAGAGTACTCTAACAAAACCTAGGAGAATTTTACAAGAAAATTGTCTCTAATAAAATGCATCACTCTGAGAGGTATAACTAGGAGAGAAATAGCATCAAGTCTTTTTACCTGGAGAAGATACGTAAGCTTTGAATTCCTGAATGGTACATGGTCCTCTTTCTTGGCAAGCGCAAATATAACATCACTCAGGCAGGAGAGACTTTTATTAATGGCCTGATTAATATTGTAGATAAATTGACGTTTTTATTTTGGAAAGTAGTATGTTGAAAACAAGAAATAAATGACAAATGAAATGATATAAATACCTGGGTTTCTTTAAGCCGATCACCAGTTGCCCCACTTCTGGAGAGTCTTTCACTTCCAGCTAGGTCTATGAGGTTTAACACGCCTTGAACTTGTTGCTCAGTGCTCTAGCAAATTGAAAATTATTAAGCACACAAACTCATTTACACAAGGTTTCAAAAAGTGTTAATAGCACAAAGAGAAGCATTACCTCATTAGTTCCAGATATACGCAACGTGAAGACAAAGTGACTTCTTGATGACTGTTCGTTCATTTGGGTCTTACCAACTGACCTGCAATAGAGTAGTAATGGTAAACATCATCTATTCCATATCACATGGGAAAAAAAGGAGGGAATGGGGTGACCTGGGCACATCCATTCTGGAGGATGCATCCTCAATACTGAGACAAAAGGTTACATGTTTGAAAATACAAAAAATACCCTCACATTTTGACTATTATCATTACAAGTGATCATCAATGAAATGTCTTTCAATAGGGATATTCATATTTCACAAAAATGGAAAGTGCAAGCCCCCCGTGAAAATAAAATGCATTAGAGAAAGCCAGTACTTAAAATACCTGCTTTGTGCTGCCTGATGCAGAAGGGAGGATACCTCTTTGATGCTGCAGACATCTACAATAGTAAGATCAGAAACATGGGTATTGCCATTTGCATCATGCTTGATTGCATACTGCTTTCCAACTACCCCATTTTCTGCACGCAATGTGTCTGGACCTGATCGATTTGTCGATAACAAATCACGAATTGTTTCATTGTAAATCTCCAACATTGAGGCCTACAAGCCACAGATCAGAAAAGTTATATACTTGATAACACCACACCCACATTCTAGCATCCAATCAGTATGAACAAAGAAAATATGAACCAGGAGATTCAGGGGCAAACCTGCATTTTGTACTTCCAACCCTGGGCCAGAAGTGACTGGCTACTTTGGAATATCTGTTCTAAGGATCGGGGAATCAGGCCTTTCTGCTCAGGGGTTTCTGGCCTGCCCATCATGGTATATGTCTTACCTGAACCTGTCTGACCATAAGCAAAAATGCAAACCTGCCAAAATGCAAGAAATGTCATATTTTGGGACCATATAAAGCTTGCACTTATGGAGGAACGGAAAACATCTATTCAATGGAAAAACAAAATTACTAAATTCCTCATTTAACTGCAAAATATAAACCTTTTGACAATCAGAAGTAAAGCCCAAAATGTGTTTTCTACCATCAACAACCAAAATTTCAGTTTGTCAGAAATGTACATGCTTAGATGGATGAGTAGAGAACTAGAAAGGGTAGTAAAAAATGAAGACACTCGAAGGAACTTATAAGTAGCTCCAATAGGTAACAAAATGAGCCAAGTAGAGTAAAGTCGTTTGGTCGTGTGCATAGAAGACCATTAACCATTGACAGAACCAGTATGAAGAAGTGCTCTATTGCGAGTGGAAGGAGCTAGAATGGCTAGTGGTAGACCCAAAAAAACATGGATTAAAGTAGTAAGAAAGATTTTAAGTACTCATATTTTAACAATGGATATGGCACAAAAATAGAATAGAACGAAATAAGATTCATGTAGTTGGATAAGGCTTGGATGATGATGATGATAATTACAACAACTTCTTGAAAACACTGCTCCAGCAATAAATTGGTGCAAACATTTTTCAGGGAACACTTACTGAAGCATTCCTTCAGTTTTTAAGTAATTCACACCTATTTTGGACCTGCTACCAAGCACATTACCAATTTGGTCTAGGCAAACTCTAGCATTTTTATCTAAAAATGTCTCCACCACCTAGAGAACATTTGAGAAAGCTACAATTGGCAATGGCTTAGTAAGTCAAAGAACCTAGACCCAATGAGGTAAATGCGTAACCAAAAATGAGATATCATTACCAATACATTACAATTTACAAAGGTCACCCAAAGCACAATATATATGAACTGATGATGACAGAAACATATGCACAACTCCTGCAGCAATCGGGGCTACAAGACCCATAGATAAGTTCCACCAACAATGAAGAACAAAAACAATACACAAGTCTGGGGTATCAGTTAGTCTGTTCGTGTGCATTTCACATTTTCAAAGAATGGGAACCCTCCATTTAGGCCCTGTTGGTTTTACTTACCTGGGTAAGTACGTTTACCAAGGTAAAACTTGCCCGAGTAAGTAAGATTTCAATGTTCTTGTAGGTTACAGCCTTACTTTATATTCAAAGATTGCATTCATAAGAATGCAAAAGAATTAAATATACATGATCTCTAAGTTAGCATGAACAGCTACTAAGAAGATGGAAAACTGTTCAATCTAAACTACAGGGTTTGAATTCTGATTTCAGGTGTTTAAGGAAATAATTAAGGATCACCTTATAACCATCAAGTGCACTCTGGACTAGCTGTGAGATCTCCACAAAAACATCTTCTTGTGAGGCATCATAGGCAAATACTTTATCAAATGAGAAAGGGTGTTTTTGCCCTGTTGACAATAGAAATATAGAATGAACAAATGTCGGTTAAACTAATCATGCAGGAAACTAAATGTGTCCAGACAAGGCAAATAGTGAGCATATATTGGCAGGGATTTACCGCTTTGCAACAAGTCAATGCCCCGTCCATGGGCTTCAAGTGATGATGGATAAGAAATAACCTCGGCCCCAGCACCCTCATCAGGTAATAAAGGCCGCACTCTGCAGAAAACTCGGATATTTCCTTTCAACTCCTGCAGTTTGATAGTTGAGAAGATAATAATTAGTAGGGTGAAATTATAAGTTTGATGTACCATAAGCAAAGATACAGATGCAAGAAGAGTACCAATATAGTATTGTGCAACTTCTTCCGAAGTTTCTCTGCTTCAATAATTTTAGAATCTGCTTCTGTCAGGCGACTTTGCAAATCCTGAATGGTTCTCTTTTGTTCTTCATATTCTGTCCTTATCTCCAAAGTTGACAAATCAGCTCTCTGAAATAGTAGATGTCATTAGTCAATCAGTACCATTGTACAGCACAAAATACAACCAGCAGTGGTAAAAGAAACAGATCGAGATACCTCCAATTTGTCATTTGCAACTGCTAGCTGTTGCTGCAATATCTGTATTTTCTCTCGCTGGGAAGAACAGGTGTCCTGCAAAATAAATATGCAAAACCAAAATAAAAAATGCAAGAATTGATTTCTTTCAAGGAAAAATGGTAGTGGCATACCTCTAGAGCACTTGATTTAATCATAAGGTTGTCCAACTCAGCAGAAGATTTTCCAGTGGTTTCTTTGTACTTTGCTACATCATCTGTTAAAGTTTGCACCTGTAGTTGTTGGCGATCACGATCTTCCCTCACCTGTTGCAACTCTACCCTGAGGCATCCCACTTCATTTACCAACGCCTCCTTATGTTTCACAGCCTCATCCCGGGAAGCCTAGAAGAAAAAAATCCATGTCCCCACTTAATCAGATATAAATGCATTTAATGATCTTTGTATATGAATATATTAATACAAAAATACAAGCACGTAATGTAAAAAGCTTCTTCTTCTACCTCCCTCTCAATTTTTATTAAACTAAAAAGAGTATCACCTCAATCTATGTCAAATCAGGAGCTCTAGCTTTTCATTTGTTTTCTCCTCTATAATCATATATCTTCTTTTCCAACTAGAAAAGACCTATTGTCGTTATTTATTTTCACAATTAACACATCCACTTATATATCTTTGCTGAATTCATCATAGCAAGGGCTTTGCCCTTTGTTTCCTTCTCCATTCTTTGATGTATCACATACAAGCACATAGATATCGTCTTTATATCACCTTCCACTAACAAAATAAGGTGTTAACTCTCCAGGTTTTATTTTTCATAGACCATGTAGGGTTGTTAACATTCAACTTTTATTGTTTAATTGGTTCTTTTTTTTGTGATTTTTATTGTTTTCTAGCTGCTGAGACAAAGGTAGAGCTATATTTTCTTTCATTTAGGATCCTTTTAGTTGCCAAGGAGAAAGTGAAATAAATTAAAAAAGAAAATAAAGAAAATGTTTGTTTTCTTTAAATTTTTTGGTTTGCAAGAAAAAGTTAAGAAATTTCCGAGTTAGCAGTTTGCAAATGGGTCCACTCACAAATCGTGCCTTCTGCAATCAACACTCGTACATTTTCAGATAGTTCTCTAAGGTGAAAGCCCATAATTTAAAAGAAAATTTTATGGAATCAATGATATCCTATAGTGGGTCCATCCAGTTTCTTTGACCAAAATATCCGTCCCAAATGTTCCTTGAGAAAATTCCTTGGCTTCTCTCACTCATTAATCATTATCACTTTCTAGGAAGCCAAGTGGAGGCTTCAGAAAAATTATAAAGGTTGAAGACCTTGATAATACTAAACAAATAGGCATTAAACAAAACAATTATTCCTGCTGAATTCCTTTTGTGACCCTACATGCATTAGAAAATTCTTTCATGTTCTTATGGAAATTGATTTGTTTCTTTACTGTTATTATATTCGGGCACAGCACAATTAGAGATTATAGCCACTTAGAGAGATTCCATTATCGGATATCATCCTCATTCATCACCTACAAGTCATTCCCGCATCTAGGTCTTTACCAATTAAGTAAAAGATTCATTGTTGAAACTCTGAAACAAATATAAGTAAGCCCACAAACAACTTTTTTAATGGCTTGTCTATTCAAATAATTCAATAAACTTCAAATGCATAGTTGCATAAGAAAGATGACCAATCTTGTTCACTAAGCAGGACAAAAAATATATTAATTTGTATAAGAAAGAGTGTACATAGAGAAGAAAAAAGAAAATGAGAAGCCAAGAAATGCCTTACTCTGGATGAAGTTAATTGATCCTGCAACGAACTACAGTGACCTCTTAAGTTGCTAAGATTCTCCACTATTGCAGCTTTTTCCTTTTCTACACGTTTTAGAGTCTCATTCGCTGTTGCAAGCTCTGTCTGAAGTTTACTATTGTATTGTTGTAGGCTTGTATTATATTCTTGTAATCGTTTATACATATCATTAAGGGATGCCACCTACAAATGAAATGCCATCAAATGGAAATATGTATCAAGTCTCAGATATAAAAAGGAAATGAATAATAAACAAGAACTAAAGGTACAGTTGTCATATTACCTTTTGATTTGCACTCAATTGCTCATGATGGGCCTTTTCGAGCTCCTCAGCCAAAGAAGCTCGTAACTTCTCAGCAGTAACTCTGGCCTCTTTTTCTCTTCTATGAGAATCAATTGCAGCCTGGGTTTTTATATTGTAAAACAACCAAACAATTAAATCGCAATAGTAAAAATAAACAAAACATCACAAATAGCTCAAGCATTTTTCTAAAGAAAAACATACTTACCAATTTGTCTGACTCTTCCTTTGTAAGCTTCTCCTGCAAAAGGGCACAATTTTTCCTCAACTCTGCTATGATCGAATTCAGTTCCCCTTCCTTGTTTTTCATTTGTGCCTCTAAGCAAGTTAAAACTTACAATTCAGTCTACAAAAGTAGGATTTCCTTTTCCCTTCTATCTGAGGATTGTGGATAACAAAAGAAGGTACAAATTTACCAGTTTGAGAACATTTTCTGTCGGCAGATTCCAACATATTACGTAGCTTCTCCTGCTCAAGGACAGAGTTCTCTTCTAATTCTTGGAGCCATTTGATGCAAAGCCTAAGTTTTTTTATATACTCAGCCATCTGCTCGCATTTTCCCTGCAAATCCCACAAAGTAGAAGTAATTTCAAAAACTAAAATCAGGCCCAATCACATGGACAGAATTTTCAAATAATGAACTAATCTACCAACCTTGTAATCAAACTTGTTCTTCCCTTTCATCTTCTCATTCAAGAGGGATTCGACATCTTCTTTCGTGAACTCAATTGCGCTGCAATCAGAGCTCCCATTTCCTGTAGAGTCACCAGAGGCAGCAGGATCTTGACCAGCATTCAACACGGAGAATGCCTGACGTGTTCGGCCGCTATTCGCTGGACCCACCATCTTTCCCGATCCAATCTTCCTACGTTTGTCTATTGGAACCTCATCAACGCTATCTTTCTTCTGTAAAACCAGAGACAAAAAAAGAAAAGGTAACAAAAAGGCACAGATTAACCAAGAAAACGATGAAACAGGGAGGGAGAAGAAGATATTAACGACAAACCCGAAGCTAGAAGCAGAGAAAGACAGGAAAAAAAACACAGAGGGAGGCAAATCAAACCTTACATTAGAAGGACTTCGAGGAGTAGCGTTGGGTAGAGGGGGTTTGTTCTGGTTCCTCGAAGCCATTTGAAGCTGAGAGATAGATAGAGGATTTCTTGGAGATGTAACTTTCAGTAGGGTTATTGTGGGGCTTTAGATTGCATTTGAAGTTCTCCCGCCGTTGCTTTGACAAGCAGGAAAAGAAATGGTGGAGAAGCCGATAGACAGAGACACTCTAGAACAAGAATTCCAACACAGCATATGGAAAAGAAAAAATTGAAACCCAGAGACAACTCTTGCTCTCTTCTCTCACTCGTCTCGTTTTCGGTTTTTTTTTTCTTTGAAAATCTTTCGTTCAACTGCGGTTAGGGTCGGGACTCACTCAGCACAGCACAGAGAGAGAGAGAGAGAGAGTTTGAAATTTTTTGAAATGGGATCCGGCGGTCTTAACCCTTAACTCTTAACTCTTAAAACATCTGCTGACGGATATGCCCCTACTGTTTGGATATATGTCCAAAATAAGGTAGGTGATAGAATAATGAGGATGGAGATGGTCGTAAGAGTCATTTCACATTTCACACTCCAAAATATTCCCCCTGTGCAACTGTGCAAGTGCAACGCAAATAAAAAATTAAAGCTTCTCCGCCCCTGTCCACCACACGCGGCGTCAATGGAACGCTTCAATTTTTGCATTCACTGTTCAGCGCTTTCTGACACAACACAGGAGAGGAGAGAAAGAGTGTGCAGCAGCGCAGGTTTCTCTCCCCGAAACACGTGGAGGGGTGGAGATGCTTGATGTTAGTCATTGTGTAGTTTGTAGGTGGGATTTTCCATTCGTTTGGTGCTGGGCCGAATTTTGCTTTGAATTGTTGTCTTTTCTTTCCACAATTTCCACCCCTACTTTTCAGAGGCTTCACCCTCAAATGATGCTTCTTCACTCAGCATCCAAGCAAGAGGTTTCTAATAAAATAAGGTCTGTCCCATGTCTCAACTCTCACCTATTACCATATTTGATATTTTTATCACTACTATATGTTGTCTTATGTGCTCCATTGATCAAGATTTGCTCTGTTCAACTTGTACCACCTAATGTTATAAAGACTAATCATCTCTTCCTAAAGCTACTGATGTGCATTTCTTGTCTTTCAAGGACGCTTTCACTCATTGAAACAGAGGTGGATGTGATTTATTAATCAATCTTAATTAGACTGTTTACCTTAACCATATTTCTAGGTTTTGATTGTGATGATGTGCACTTTTAAATTTTAATTTAAGGGGGTATAATGTAATCACTAACAATGCTTAATTTGCAATATTTTTTTCTTTTCTTTTTTTTTTGTTTTTGTTTTTGCATGCCGACTAGTGGAGCCTGAACTATGAAAATGATGGAAGATAAGGATTAGGAATCCCTCCACTCTCAAGCAAAAGTTTAAATGTCATCATATGTACAATTATTTTTCCTTTTTCTTTCATTTTTCTGTGTATGAAATCTGAATTAGTTAACCTAAATAAGTGTTGGTTGACCCATAGCTTGATGCAGATGTATCATCCTTTTATATATATATATATATATATATATATATATATAGAATTAAAAAGATAGGACTTGTAAGGATTTCTTTTCTTTTTTTTTAATTCTTCTTCGTCTTCCTCTTTTTTTTTTTTAGGTTTTATCGATGAATTGGAATTGGTCCATGTTCAAATCCACTCCAAGTAGACATTTATTGAAGTGGCTATTAGGAGTATCAAACCAAAATTTTCGATTTCAGTTTTTTGGCTCAGTTATAGGTTTTCGAGTAAATTGGTTCACTAATTCAGTTCTGGATTTGGTTTAGTTTTCAGATTAAAAAAACCAATTAACCGAAAAATCTATATATATATATATATATATATATATATATAATCTGGTTTTAATCAAAAAAATTGAAATAAAAATTTTGATTTTCCAGTTAGAGGTTTGGTTCAAAAAAGTCGATTTATTCAATTCAATTCTTAGCTGAGTAAATTGAATGTTCACCTAGTGGCTATATAATCCATTCAATCCATTGGATTTTGATAATTTGAACAAATCCAAAACCAAACAAATGTAGTGTAGGGCTATACCCCCCTCTCTATTTTTCTCCTAATCTCTTCTCCCTTAGTTTTCTTCTAAACTCCTTTTTCTCTCTCTTCCATTTTCAATTCTCTCAGTTTTTACATGTAATTTTTTTTTTCAAACAAAGTCATACACATCGGGCTAGGTAACCTATCAAGAGTGAGTACACCAATATTGAGAGGGTGGATTCAGTTCTCACCAAATTGCACTCACACTGTTTTTACAGTGTTTTTCAAGTTTTCAGCCATGCATTGAAAATATTTCCATACTTGTGTATTTTTTTATTCAAGGGGAGATGTTCTAATGCACGGCTGAAAAGGGCAGTGAGCCCATTTCCTATATTGAGTGCACATAGGGCCCATGTAGAGCCCATTTCCCAATGCACAGTTATATATGATCGGTTTTATTGATTTGAAGGAAAAAGATAGTAAACGGAAGGAAACAGTAGAGAAACCTTTAAGAGATCCCCGAGCCTGGTGTGCACAAGTAAGTTTCTAGCCATCCAGAGTCCTCATTCTATCAGGGTATATTCTTCTCTTATTGTATTACAGTGATAAATGGTGCTATTAGATTGTTATTGGATTAATCCAAATCCACTCCAATGGCATCCCTACTGGCAAGGCTGCAATACAGATTGGGAGATAGAAAAAGCAAGCTGGGCATGCAGGAGCCAGCTCTGAAATGTCACCTAGCCCGTTTCTATATAAAGCCAGCAAAACTGCACAAGGAAAGTGCAGAGAAGCGTGTATCATACCCATCACTGATACAAGAGAAAATTAATTGTACAATGTCTCTATTCTTTGGTTTCCCTTTTTGATACAGTTGTTTTAGTTTCTTGCATTATATAAAATTAGGTTACTAATTAAATGAGTATCTTCAAACTGATCAAGGTCTTACTTTCTAAGCTAACTATCAGGCAAGGAAGGTACCAGAAATTAAAGGAAAAGTGGGAAAAAAGAAGAGGGTCGATCCATGTTCACCTTTGATGATATCAGAAAAAGACAGTACAGTTAATGGCAGCTAAAAGAAGTTTCAATGGCGCAAGGGAAGTAGCAGCAGCTACTTTTCAAGTGAATACTTGCAGCAGAATAGAGACTAAGGCTGCATATGGAAGGGATATAAATCAATATTGATATAACGTTGGCTCGGTTATATCGGTGTTCAGAAGGAGTGTAAATCAAGATTGACATAAAATTTCACTCCAATTTAGATTTGTTGGTGTTTACATGGAGTAGAGTTTTACATAGTAAATTGATGTAAAACTTCATCAAAAATAAAGTTTTATATATCGATGTAAATACTACATCGGTAAAATCGATGTAAAACTCCATACTTTTTGAATTCACGCTTTTCTAAATTAACAGTCATTTTTTTATGGTTTGGTGTAAACATCATCAATATACTTTTATACCATGAAGTTTTACATCAATTCCAGACACAGCGTAAAGAAAAAAAAAAAAATTGGTAGAAGTTAGAGGTTTATTAACACATAAGCCAATTCAGAGCTCCCCCAGAAATTATCAGCAAGAAACATAGAAGACGGCCAGGCACATCATTGGAAAGCTTGGACAGAAAGGGACCCTTCTCCACTCTGTAAATAAAAGAGGAGGGGTCATAGAAGATTCTTCCTACTACTCTATCAATCTATCCTAGACAAAAAGAGCCTGAGCCCTCCTAAAAGCCATGCCGTCTTGAAGCTACATGTTGAAAAGCAAAATCACGATACATACAAACTTATTCCAAAATAAGAATTGATGAAAAGTGAAATGGGATGTCCCTAACTCCTAATTGTGTATTTGTTTGGGGTTGAGCTTCACATGCTTCAGCTTCTCAAAATGTTAATTATTTGTTTTTATTAGGACCCTCTTTGGTAGAAAATTAAGGGTGAGCATTCGGTTTATTCGGTTAAAAACCAAATTGAATTTTTTAAAACCGAAATACTAAAATGAAAATCGAAATTAAAACCGGTTTTCAATAAAATCGAAAATTTTTGGTTTGGTTTTTGGTTATTTCGGTTAAAAACTGAATTTAGTTATTATTATATATAATATTATATATTATAACCTATAATATATATATTATTATTATAATATATTATAAAATTTAATTTCATTATAATAGATTATATATAATATATTAATATATAGATATATAGCATATTATATATATTATATATTATATAATGAATTTTAGCTAATTCAGTTTTTCCGGTTAACCGAATTTCTAAATCTGAAAACCGAAACCGAAAAATCGAATTTCTCAAAAACCGAAAAAGCCGAACCAAAAAAACCATAACCGAAATTTTCGGTTCGTTGATTCGGTTTTAACCGAATAATGCTCACCCCTATCTAAAATAGTGACCAGTAACAGAAGTTGTTCATGTAGGTTATAGTAACCTTTATTTAAATGCTAACATTCATGATTAGGTCTTGGCCACGAGTTCTTCATTAAGGCTACGTTTGAAAACGATGCAAATGGAGTACAAATCCCGGTTCAGGGTAAATTTGCACTCTGGTTCACTTTTGCTTGTGTTTGCCAATATTACATTTATGTATTGGCAAATGGCAAACCAATGTATATTTACATTGATAATAAGATGTAAAAGTACATCAATAAAAAAAAAAAGTAAATTTGCATTCAAACTTTACAATTCATGTTTGCATCAATAAAAAAAAAAAACATATGCTTTATTGAAATTCATGTTTGCATCCATTACAACTAACACAACTTTACAATTTATATGAACCGCTTTACACTCTACATATTTGCATTGTTTTCGAAGATAAGTGAAAATCACCCTATAAAGAAGTGAAACACTTTATTGTAAATGTTTCTCATACAAAATTTATGATGATTAAAACAAAAGTTGAAAGCATGCATTGAATCTTGTTCTCACCTTGAGATGCCATCCCTTCAACTGATGTCGATAGATTGCTTTTTTTCTGATGATAAACCCAAAGAGAGTTGTCGTTGTAGAGATAAGCAAAGAGCAAAGAACGATACTTAGATCTCCTTCTATCTCCAACTACTCCTAGTAAGAGTGAGTTGAAGCTTAGGTCCTCTCAAGACATAGTTGCTTAGAATGAGAGGACAACCTTTGTCCACTTTAGAAGGATCCCACCATTACCCTTCAAGCAAAAGAGACTCATGATTACATGATACAAATGACAACCCCTGATGAATGAATTGGGAGGGATGAAATGGAGGAGCTCATCTTGGGAAAAGAGGACAAGTGTCAAAGGTAGGGCTACAAATTGATTAGGTCAAATTAAATAGACCTAGTTCCAAATTTGATTTTAAAATGTT